CGCAAACCCCCCCCCCCCCCTCTCTCTCTCTATATATATCTATCTATATATATATATATTAATGTGTTTCTGTTGCTGTCTCTGCTTTGATTTTCGAGTTTCTTTTCTCTTTTAAATGTGGAGCAAATGGTGCCTTTAGACCCTTGAATCTTTTTTATAACGCAAGAACATGGAAAAACAAAAAAAAAAAGAAGCCAAGACTTATAAAGTAGGAAGAAATCTGTGTCATTTTTCGCTGACCGAAATTTCGAATTCATGTCACGCAAACCCTTCTGAGAGAAAGGGGGTGGGTGCGTGAGGTCAATTGGAAATTTTGAGCGTATATGAGTGGCATTAGCTTACAACAGAGAAGGACAGTGGTAAATTAAATTGGTGAAGAGTATGGACCGCCATGTGGGCTGTTTTCAGTTCTATCTATCTATCTATGATTGGGAGTGTGTTTGTGTTCTTGAATCAACTTTATAGATTTGTTTCTTGATTGGTAGAGCAAAAACTCAGATTTGCACTATAAAAGTTGGAATCTGGATAGACTCACCCCCATGACCATGAAAAACGACCATGGCCCATGTCGATGTGGTCATCACGTTTTCGAGCTTACTTGTCAAAACTCAGCTATGTTGTTTTGTGTTGGTTGAAAATCTGCAGGGACTTCAGAGTATTTAATATAGTATATTGTATTTAATCTGAGCCATTCTGCTTTCTTATTGAACAATGGGTTTTTTAAATGAAACGGGACCACTCTGTTATTGGTTGAGGATTGGGGTTGAACTTGGACAAGCATGCAATTGTAATTATTAATAATTTTTTCCTTTTGCGTCAGGGGTTTTTTTTTTCGGTTGGGGGGGTTGTAAAGTATTTCCTCAGAACAATTACGTAGAAATAGATACAGATATATCAACTAGATTTGTTTAATATTACAGAAACTGATATGCGTTACAAAGACAAACATTAAGCACATAAAACATTTGATTAACCTACATTGATATTTATTCTTAAAATTCTTGCGTCTTTCTTAAGTTCTTTAGTTTAGCAAAGAAAAATGTGTTCGTAAAACTTCATGCATGAGAAATGTAAGCAACCATATAAATAAAAAGGAAAAGAAACTAGCATAATGAAAAGCAAGTTTAATTTTCAGAAATCACAATAACATGCATCTTAGGAAAAATTCCATATAACTGCAAGTGTTTTTTTTTGTCTTTCTGGCAACAATATTTTATTGATTCCAGTGGTAAAAGTACTAATGTGGAAAACCAAATGCAATTGATGTGTAGATTCATTTGTTATCAAGACTGCTAATGGATAAATAACTACCATTTTAGGAATTGCTGCCATCTTTTTCTATTTCACAATCTTTTTTATTTTTTATTTTTAAGTTTTGGTTATACATGAAACCATATGAAATGTTGATATGTGGTATCTTTCCATTGGTTAATGAGTTTCTTGACCGAGCAGGTACACCTTGACTATCTTGAAGCTGGTGCAGATATTATCATCACAGCATCTTATCAGGTAATAACAATGATCTCTTTCTATTTGTGGGGGCACGAGGAATTTACACTCAGTTTCACTTGAATATGGACAGGCCACCATCCAGGGATTTGAGGCAAAAGGTTTCTCTAGTGAAGAAAGTGAATCCTTGCTCAGGAAAAGCGTGGAAATTGCATGTCAGGCAAGGGATATTTATTATGATAGATGCCAAAAAGGTTCTCCTGATAGCAATAATGGTAGGGTTCTGAAACAAAGACCTATTTTAGTTGCAGCTTCCATTGGAAGTTATGGAGCTTATTTAGCTGATGGATCCGAGTACAGGTGAGTCAACCTCTAGTCAAGTAATTGCATGAGCTGCATCACTGCACATATCTATTTATATCACTATCATGCGCTAATCAACTGTCATGTCTCTTAGTGCTCTTAATTTTAATTTTAAAAGCTTTGTGGAGAACTTAATACTTGGAGTTCTTATGGGATCTGAGAAAATGAACACGGTCTAAGCTTGATGGTATCAGAATGTGGTTCACTATCAAACACCAATCAACAGTCATGTTTTAAAAGCATTGTAGAGACCTACACTTAAAGAGTTTTTTTATTGAATCTGAGAAAATGAACATGGCCTTAAGCTTGATGTCCTCAGAATGTGGTTTGATATCCTTTCTGAAAGAGGGTTTCCTATTATCCTTAATAGAAAGTAAACTTCTAATTATTCTTTCTTTTCCTCTTATTGTTGCTCTCCCTTTACAGTGGGAACTATGGCGATGCAATTACCCTTGAAACCTTGAAAGATTTTCATCGCAGAAGGGTACAGATTCTTGCAGAATCAGGTGCTGACCTCATAGCATTTGAAACAGTTCCAAATAAAGTAGAAGCTCAGGTATTGACCAGATCCTTTTTCATATCATAACATTTTAATTTCTTTCTCTTAGAGGAAAGTCATGATCAAATCTAGGAAGAGGAAACGAAGTTAATACTGGTGCTACATTTCATTTTGGTGCTTATTTCCCCATTGATTATGTCTGTGTTTGTTCAGGCTTATGTTGAACTCTTGAAGGAAGAAGACATAAAGATTCCTGCATGGTTCTCTTTTAACTCTAAAGATGGTGTTAACGTGGTTAGCGGTGACTCTTTGCTTGACTGTGCTTCAATTGCTGAATCATGCCAGAATGTAGTTGCAGTAGGGATCAACTGCACACCTCCTAGGTTTATTCATGGACTGATTTTGTCCATTAAGAAGGTATGCTTTTTGTCTTCCTGCTATTCTTTTGTTGACGTTTTTAAATTTTCTTAATGAAGCACTGAACTACAGTGTTCATTATTGGTGGCCATAACTTGTCTCAACCTGATGCAAATTCAAACCAATGTCATTTGTACAATAACTGACCATCAAAACTCTTTCTTTCGTTAATGAACTTATTTATCAGTGCTAGAAATATAAACAACAATGAAGCAAGGAGAACATAAAAATAATACTTGCCATCTATGTCCACAAAACTGTATTGAAGTTGTTGTCGATGATTGCACTGGGTTTAAAACTTTTCTTGGTCAATAAATTAACAATAGCCTAATTTCTTCGATAGTGTTTGAACTTACAATTATCATTTATTTTTCTCTGGTTAAAAAGCCAAGAACTGTGATTGAATTTAAGAATTGAATGAACCCAAACATGGATGCTGAGAAAGGCCCTGCGTGGTATGAAAATTTTTCCCTGATATTGAGGGAAGTGTTCGACCAAATCTAAGATTGAGTTCATTCAATTCTTAAATTTGTGAATAAGCTCCTTGTCTATGTTAGAGATTTAAGATGATATTGATGGTTTTATACTTTTTTTTTGAGTCCAATATGGTCTTGCACTATGTTCCACTGTGCACTGTCGGTATAAAGAATGTGGTAATGGATAGCTCACTTGATACTAGATGACTTGGGTGGCTGTTCTATGGTGGGTGTTCTATGGCAGCAACAGTTATAACACTTGCCCCTTGACTTCATGGTTTCTATTTTATGTTAAAATAGTTGTTGGATATGTGAGTGTGTGGGTGCGCGCATGCGTGTGTAAAGTAAGTTAACGGTGTCTGGCACTTTTGTTTAATGAAAATTCTCTCTTCATGAATGATTTTATCAGGTGACTACAAAACCAATACTTATTTATCCAAACAGTGGAGAGAGTTACGATGGCAAGCGGAAGGAATGGGTGGTGAGTTCATTTTGATGGCTGTGAAAAGCACATGGAAATTATTTCCATATTGTTTTTTAATAATATTCGAAGGCATCAATTAGTCCTTTTTATTTCAAGAAAAGGATTCTCTCACGTTCTTCCAAAAGTAATTGCAAGCAAATTTGCCTTGCGGAACACTATTTTCTGTCTGTATCTTACAACTTCACGGCTGGTTCTATTTTTTAATATGCCATTTAACTGTGTCAACCCGCTTTCTGTTGCAGCAAAACACAGGCATATCAGATCAAGATTTTGTATCATATGTAAACAAATGGTGTGAGATCGGGGCTGCCCTTGTTGGAGGCTGTTGCAGAACAACTCCCAATACTATCAGAGCCATATACAGGACTCTTTCCAGTAGATCCCCTGCGCTATCCTCATAGTGACCACGCTTGCCTTCCCATGGTGTCTGTAATTCCAAACCCAAACATGGATGCTGAGAAAGGCCCTGCGTGGTATGAAATTTTTTCCCTGATATTGAGGGAAGTGTTCGACCAAATCTAAGATTGAGGTCGACAGCCTTGTTTTTTTTACTGTTGTAGCCCTGTGTGGCATGACCAAATATATGCTGAAGTTTGTAGAAGATTGAGGTTTCTATTTCACGAGCTACCAGTTTTCGAAAGGCTACTGCTATTGAATTCTGACTCGAGGATAGCGACCACGCTTGCCTTCCCATGGGGTCTATGTAATTCCAAACCCAAACATGGATGCTGAGAAAGGCCCTGCGTGGTATGAAATTTTTTTCCCTGATATTGAGGAAGTGTTCAACCAAATCTAAGATTAAGGTCGACAGCCTTGTTTTTTGTACTGTTGTAGCCCTGCGTGGTATGACCAAATCCATGCTGAAGTTTGTAGAAGATTGAGGTTTCTATTTCATGAGCTACCAGTTTTCGAAAGGCTACCGCTATTGAATTCTGACCCGAGGATCGACAGCCTTGTTTTATGTACTGTTGGAACTCTTGACCCGAGGATCGACATTTTGTTTATTGCATTGTTGTGAGACAGGATTTTAAGTCAAATAAGATATTTCTAATAACCCCTGTAGAACAGTCAAAAGTTGGACACCATTTTGATCTGAATTATTTGATTATACTCCACCCTATTAAAGTTTTCACAGACATCTCAGAAGTCATTCATGACATTTTCGGGCAACTTACCCACAAGCTTCGCCTACTCCGAATAATTACTACACGCATAGATACTGAAAAACTAAAGGTGCACACGATTTTCATTGATAAGATCTGAAACAGAATCAAGATTAAGGTGTCAAAAAGCAGCTCTGCCCAGTAACACAAATGGAAATCTTGGATGGGGGCAAGAAAATGTAGTATATCAGCTAACAATTTACCACTTTGATTTTCCGGTCAGACAAAAATCTATCAAAAAACACACGGTAAATCACACTAGATCTAATTGCATGGTACAAACCAATCATATAGGTACAAGAAAGTCCTTAAATTAACAGGATTTTCAAGTCCCTTGCATAACAAGGAGCATCGGTGATCACGTATCAAAACCAGAGTAGACACCGCTTTCCCTTAACAACCTCTTCTCTTCTTCAACATAATTCTTCCCCCTACTAGCCTGACCAAGCTCTCGTTTCCTCTTCTCTTTCTGCTGGAATGACATATTTTTCTTCTCTTTTGAAGTTTGCACATTCATCAAAGCCTCTCCATCCCTCAATGCATATCTTGTTTTCTGTCGTTCTTGGTAGGATTCTCCAACATCCGTGGTTTCGCGACGCTCTTTTCC